TTGGCTTGCCACTGTTTTGGCTACTATCAGATCTCATCTTTTAATCTGTCCCCACTTATAGGGACCTAGGGCTGCATCTATGATGATGTAAATGGTAGGAGACAAGGCTGGAGATGGAGACAGGAGCCAGAATTTGAATGAATTTATATGACATGCAGATAACTTGACTAAAGTTGTGTTTCTGTTGTCACAATTACAGTGGCTATTTTATAGACCTACTAGTAGTTTCCAACCTTCTCTTTACTTTAAAAAACTTAAAATTTGGGCCTAGTTGATGTGGCTAAGTGGTTGAGTCAACCCATGCGCGAAGAGGTCGCCTGTTGGATTCCTGGTCAGGGCACATGCCCAGGTTGTGGGCCCGATCCCCAGTGGGGGGCATGCAGGAGGCGGCCAGTCGATGTTCTCTCTCATTGATGTTTCTCCCCCTCCCCCTCTTCCCCTCCCCCTCTCTAAAAAAAATTAATAAAGGAAAAAAAGCCTTAAAATTCGCTCTTCAATTAATTATTGAGTGCTGATTGTGTGCCAGGCAGTACTTTGTGCTTTACATGAATTAACCTTTTTTAATTATCTCTCACTTGGAGAGAGGCCCTATTTGACCTACTATAGAAATGGAGAGATTGAAATTCGAGGAAGTGAAGTGACATGTCTAATGACAGTGGTAGAGCTGGGATTGGAACTAGAAGGGTCTGACTTCAAAAAGTCCCACTTTTTTTTCATACTCACTGCTTTGAGCCAGGCAGGAGCTGAATCAACAGTCCTCAGATACTATCATTTTCTTTTCACACTCACTTTTGCTAAGCACTGTGCCCAGTTACATAATTGGTGCTTGGTAAATGTTGAATAAATGATTGATGGAATCTTAACTAGCGTCAGTTATTCTTTGGATAATGTAACTTGAAATAACTTTTTTCCCCACAACAACAGTGTTATGAAATTTTTATAATTTATGATTAGATTCTTAACAGGTATGCCTGTTAACATTTGCAAGGCTTGAGACAAGAATACAAATGGAGGCCCCTGTGTAGGAAGTGAGTACCCCTTTAGGTACAGTAGAAAGGTTTTATTGATGTCATTGAAGGAAACCAGCCCTGACATTTTCAAAGATGCTGAGGAGGACACAGAACATCCCAATATGGCCCCCACCTCTTTAAGGAGGAAAGGGTAGAGCAGTAGGTAAGACATGAGCTGTTTGTCTAGGTTAGGGGTTCCTAAATATATCCGTAGAATAAACCCTGTTGCAAATCTGATGCAAGCCATGATTATTCTTGCCAGAAAAATACAGATTTTCGCATGAAGTTTTGCAAAGAGTTTCTAGAGATTCAAAGGCAACTGAAATATATCCCCTGGAAAAGAGGTCACCAGTGTGACAGTTGTTCTTTGACCAAAGCATTGTAATTCAGGTTGTGGAGGAATATCATCCTTTGCCAAATATATCATGCCCATTATAAATGCGTCTCTGCAACTTTTAAATTTCCACCCTAATTTTTAACATGCCCTTCACTGTTCTCCTACGTCTCTCCTAGCCTACTGAAATCTTTGAATTCTAATGTAGCTGAGTATTCAGTATTGAATTGAATTTTATAGCTAAAAAGAACATTTATATCAATCATTAAGAGGTAGGTGAAACCAAGTGGGTTAAGTGTGCCATTTGGCTGGGTAACACTGTGATGCTAGAACCCAGTTCATCTGCATACTGGGGTGGGGTGGGTGTTCGCACAAATCCATATTTCATACTGCCTTTATGGGAGGGCAGAAGGGAATAGGCTTGAAGTAGTGTAAAAAACTGGGGCTAAATATTTGAAGGATTCAAAATTAATATCAAATATAAAAATATTTGTAGCATTTATACAAATTAGAAGGCAAAACACCACCAAAGCTGTGTGGTTAAAGTACCACCTACATATTTAAAAGTAAGTACAAATGTTTGGTAAAGATTTAGGGAACAATGGTTCAGTTTCACTAATAAAGAAATGCTATTTAAAAGCTGCAAACATATTTGGATCGTCAGAGTCCTAAAGACATTTTTAAAACAATAATAGGCAAAGGCTGTGAGATGCATTAGAAAGGCAGATGTTTAAATTGGTACAACTTGTTTGGAAAACCATGTGGCAGCATTTCAGCAAGTGCTCTGATGATGCGTCTACTCATTGATCCAGTAATTTCACTTTAGGTATCTATCTTTTAGAAGTGACTAAGAACATAGACTACACCAAGATTTCTGCATTGAGATGTCTAGCATAGTGATATTTATAAAATAGCGAAAACCCAGAAGACTCAATAATGGGGATGCATACATTGTGTATTGAACATCCTTACAACAAAATATCATTTTAAAAACTGTACTGATGAAGGTGCTGGGATTGTGAGTTTTTATTTCCTTTTCTATGGTTTGTATTTGCCAGATTTTCTACAGTTAGCATATATTTTATAACCAGGTGCTTGAAGATTTTTACAGTTTTAACATAATTTTTTTAGACTTTTTATAATTCTTTCAAAAACCTGAAATGAAACATTAACCTCTTACCCTGAACTGTTTCTTCCTTTAGTCTACAGAAAAGAATTTTGAGTAATTGCCCAGTGTGTACCATAGATCGTCTTAGGAGAACAGTGCGTTTGCTGTCTGAGCTAGCGTGCCAGGGACTGTAAAATTCTGAGCAATAGTTGATGAGTTCTGTTGTTCCTCAACAGGAAGTAAAATAGTGGGTATTTTATTCTGGAAGGAGGAAGAAATAATTTCTGATTATTATTTCATGAAACCCTGAAAGGTTGAGATGAGTCATTTTGTGTGGGTTCAATTTATGGGGAGTTTGTAGGTTTCTTTTTCTTTTTTTTCTTTTGGAATGATTGTGTGCTGTAGAATGAACACAGTTCTGAGGAAGCATGTTCACAAAATGAATGTTAGCAGTTTCTCCTATGATTAATATGTCAAACTTGTCACAATTCTTAACATTGTTTGCCAGCTTCATTCAGTTCTTGAAATGAGCCAGCTCATACTTTTACTCCAAAGCAAACAGGAGCTATTATTTTCCCCCTTTCCCTGTCGGCTGCCTCATTCTCCCCTTTGCACATGTATTAACTGCTCTCTCACTTTAAGTAGTGTTAGATAGTGGATTCTAATTTTTATTAAAGAAGGAATCACAACTCAGGTTTCTTTCATTGTACCTCTGAATCAAGAGCTTGCTGTATCCTGAAATGATGCATTAAACTTTCTGCTCTGTAGTCTTCAACAGGACTTCTGTCCTCCTCAATGCCATTCGTTTTTGTTGTTATTTTTAGCCGGTGAGTTTTTCACTGTATCTTTTTCTTTTCATACCTGAACTCCAGGGTATTTCTGCTGCAGTAGTTTTCCTGGATAATGCTAAGTGTTCTTCACACCCCTGCTATTTAATTGGCTTTTTCAGCATTGTCATGGCAATTTGCTGCAAAGTTCTCTGTGCTGTGGTCACACTTAACTTTAAATGGATCTCACTCCTGCTGGGCAGAGATAATGAAAAGGTGGTGTTCAAGTTTGCCATTGTCAGTTCCTGGGATCACATAAACTTTACAAAAGGAGCCCTGGCCTGTTTGGCTCAGCGGTTGGAGCATCGGCCTGCGGTACAGAGAGACCCGGGTTCGGTTCCCGCTGGGGGCCCGTGCCTCGGTTGCGGTTTGTCCCCGGCCCTGGTTGGTTGTGCGGGTGGCGGCCACTCGATGTGTCCCTTCACATCCATGTTTCTCTCTCTCTCTTCCTCTCTCTCCCTCCCGCTCTATCTGAACAAAAAGTGGAAAAGTGTCCTCGGGTGAGGATAAAAGAAAAAAACAAAACAAAACAAACTTTACAGAAGGAACTCTGCCGGGCTCAAAGACTGGCCTGGACGTGCAAAGGAGTGGCTCCTTTGTGACATCTGACCTACACTGATTTACGAACTTCGTTATAAGTAACTTTGCTAGTTATTTGATCCATTAAATAAAGAATGATAATAGCTTTCAGGGATATTCTAGAGTTTATGAAGTTGTGTTTTAGAGGTAGAAATATTTTATGAACATGTAATTAGAATCAGCTGGTTGTCAGAACATAGTTGCCTCTTGGACTATTGCCATCTGCTGCATCTGGTTCCACAAGGGCATCTGCCGAGATGAGGGCACTCCAGGTAAGTGCGGAATAGCTGAGGTTTGGGGTCCTAAGTCCCTTTGCCTTTCTCCCGTTCTGTCAGCAGGCTGGACTCTGAACGTCAGAGGTTCACTTTCTTCCATTCACAGCCCAGATTAGAAAGAGACTTAAGTGACTTGTCTATCATGCCACCTTTTCCTTGGTCTTCCAAGGATGGAAACACCTTTGGGAAGCGGTGCCAGGTTTGTCTTACTGCACCAGCTTCATGAAATGGGACAGTTCAGGCCAAGAGAGTGATGGAAGAAGCATGGATGCCTGCCCCGGGTCAGTTATTTGTGTCACCCTTACTAGAGCTCCTGACATGGGCTTCTCATTGTTGGAACCTAAGGATGCCATGTTGTTCTCAGTCCACATCTGAGGGTGACACAAGCGAATCATGAGTTACTTTTAGAGCCTGAGTTTTCAAAATGTCTTCCATGGAAGTATAATCCGGACTTTGTATGGAGAGGATGCTCCAGAGTCTGAGCAGGTGGACCTCTCTACCTGACCCCGCTTCAGCTGGTAGCGCTATTTTTATCTGTTTTATTGGTAAGATTCTGCATTTGATTTCAGTTGGGAAATAATGGTGGCTTCTTATAAAAAGTATGAAATTTATAGTCTTAGACATTAGACTGTACCCTCTGACAAGAACATAAGGTGTTTTAGAATTAAAAGCTTAGGAACCTAGATGCAAAACCCCGAGCCATTCAGCTGATGGTGTCTCACCTGTTTTGCTCTGTTGATCACCAGGAATGGAGCTGTATAATCTCTCGTTTCATCATTTCAGTCATTGACACTGTCAGTATGCTCTTGGAGTTACAGATGTTCTCTTTCAGCTTTTCTTATTTTCCTATTGATTTCTCTTAGGGATTGATTCATTCAGCAAATACTTTAGTGCCTGCACGTGCAAGGCACAGTTACGTGGGGAGTACAGAAGTGAATAAAGCAGTCCCTAGCTTTGAAAAGTTTATCTGACTTATAGAACCTTTTATAGATGGCTACCACAAAAAGAAGGGCATGGCGGGCAGCCTCAGAAGGATGTTGTGGAGTTCAGAGGAGAGACTGCAAGGGGAAGCTGAGTGGAAGATGACACCATAAACCTGAGTGATTTCAAAGATATTTAACTGATTGGAAATAGTGATCATAGAAGTGTGGATTTGGAGAAAATGTTGGAGGTGAGTCATAAAGGTGGAAATAACCAGCAACCAGTTGATGTAAGTCATTGGTGCTGGGGTAGGTGAAGACTTTATATACAAGGTAAAGTTGTCTTTTAATCAACAAATACTCATTGCACGCTGTGTGTCAGTTATGCTAGATGCTGAGGATTCAGTAGTATCCTCATACTGGACATAACAGGTCTCTTCGTGGACATTGTGCCTGCCCCCGTGAAGTTTAGTCTGATGGGAAAGACAGGTGCTGAGATTGTATTTATATTGACCAGAGAGGGAACTTTATGAGTGCCTGTACCTATTTTCTTCGCCACTGTATACATAGCTTTTGGTATAGTTCTTGGTCTATGGTACACAGTGAGTGTATATTTGTAGAGTGATTCAAATAACTAAAAGAGTGACACAGGTTACTATGGAAACACATATGAGGGGTTGGAGGGAGAGCGGTTATTAAAGTATAGCCCGAGTGGTGAGCTTTGGACTTGGATGTGGTAGAGAGAAGAATTGCAGTGGAAACTGAATGCTGTCAAGAAAGTATAATTTATGGGATTAATCGGATGAGCGGTGGAGGGAGAAGGAGGAGTCGGGATTCACTCCCAAGGTTCAGGCTTGATCGTTTATCAGAGTGAACTGCTCTGGTTTAATACAGGGACTTTTGGAGGAAGAGCAGTTTGGGGAAATTGAGATGAAAAGTGTGTCCATTTTAGGGTATGATAACTGCGTAGTGCCTTAAGGGCATTCAGGGTACATTTTTAGGAATAAATGGATGAACTAGAGGATAGCTTGTAAAGAGTAAAGAGGCTTAGGACAGATTCTAGAGGAGAATATCCATTTAGGGATCGACTAGGCAGAGGAACCCAAGAGGAAGCCACGGGGCATCATTGAAGCCAATGCCACTGCAGTAGATGCTCTCCTGGCAAGACCTGTGCGAGGTTCAAATGGCAGTCCATTTATTTATAGAAGCATTTGAAACATCCCAATATGGCAAGTAAAAAGATAAGCTAGACAGTCTTACTGTTTGATACTCTGTCAGTGATAATTTACGAAGTATTAGGAAAAAATTTTACTTTAAAACTTTGGGACTTAAAGATGATCGTGTGTCTTAACATTGGTGTGCGCTGTTTGGTACTCATATTCTTAACTGTCTGCCACTGCTCCCTAGCAGGAGGAAAAGATTGTCAAATGGTATTTGGTTGAGAGGATGTAAACCGTTCCGTAACTCCTGGGTAGACATGCTGAACTGTGTAGTTTGCAAGTAAAAACCAGGACGGCTCCCCATATGAAATCTAAAACACAGAACTAAACAATAGTAACTTATCTCTTTGCTGTCTTCTTTAAGTCTCATTATGTGCATCCCTGAAGAACTGGGTGCTTTTCTGGTGGCAGATACCATGCTCACGTGAACAGGCTGAGGAACTGCTCTGTCAGAGAACCGAGGGGCCATTAGAGAGCTGGCTGTCACCTGAGAGCATCAGTTAGCTCTTTGAGTTTCAGCAGGACTTTCTCCCCTTACACAGCTTAGATTCCCCTCCAACCCCTATCCATTGCTTTCTGTGGACTAGCTCACTGTAATGCAGTAAGTAGGCTCTACCTCTCTTTTCAGCAACATAGAAATATTGCCGCTCTTTCTCTTGCCATCCTGATAGGTTCCATCGACATGCTGGTTAAGGGCTGAACAACTTAAATATCTTTATTTATTTTAACTTTTTTTCTTTATTGATTTTTTAGAGCTAGAGGAAGGGTGAGGGAGAGAGAGATAGAAATATCGATGAGAGAGAACATCGATTGGCTGCCTCCTGCATGCCCCACACTGGGGATCGGGCCCACAACCTGGACATGTGCCCTGACTGGAAATTGAACCCGTGACCTCTTGGTGAATGGGTTGATGCTCATCCACTGAACCACACTGGCCGGGCAGGGCTAAACAATTTTAAAATTATGTCCACCAGTTCCAAGAACATTAAGGAGTGGTGAGTATGATTAAGTTGGTTTAGGCTGTTGGGTTTTTGATTAAATTTTAGATCAATGTTTTAATCTGAAATTGCACTGTCAATGATTTGAGTATGTGCATAAGAGTGAGATACTTTTAAAAATCAATCCTTTAACATTTTCAAGAGTAAATAAGTTTCTTTTTATATTTGCAGTAATAAAATGAATGCTACAAATGTATAGTGTTCCAAGTTCCTTGCGTGTAATGTCCCAGAAAGTTGCTGTGTTTCTTCTTTTTTCTTCCATTACGTATTAGTAGCAATAAAGCCTAACTTTGAACTTGAGGAAAATTTAGTAATACATTGAAGTCTTATGGTAGCATCACATTTTGGTTAATGATTCATTTAAGAATATTGATTAGAAAAGATTAGATTGTCTTTCTAGATTTTTGATTAACCTAAAAATCAGTTGTGTGTACTAACTATGACCTGTGTGTGTGTGTGTGTGTGTGTGTGTGTGTGTGTTAAATTAAAAGAATACTTGAAAATTTCAAGATGTCTTAGGCTTTTGATTTTATGTTACCAAAGTCTCATGTATGAAATGAATACAAAATGTTTAGAGTTTCTGAGCTTTTGTTAGAAGGTTTAAATTAGTAGTTTATTTATTTATTTTTATCCTTACCTGAGGACATTTTTTTCCATTTTTTGTTCAGATAGAGTGGGAGGGAGAGAGAGAAAGAGATGAACCCGGGTCTCTCTGGACCGCAGCTGACACTCAAACCGCTGAGCCAAACCGGCTAGGGCTAGTTTAATATTTTTTAAAGTAAACTTTTTACTTAGCTAGACTTAGTAAATTCCTAGATTATATTTTGTTATCTTCAAGCTTTAGATAGAGAAATAACTTAAAAATTACATTCTGTTTAGATACATAATTAGAGTGCTACCTATCTTTTCCTTTACGGTTTGATCAGGAAACTTAATTGTCTCAATTCAAATGAAAATCTTTAACATATGGCATAGACATTGTGGGTGTTGTGGAATCTATAAGAAAAATCAATGCTGTCCGTTAATTAAATAATTTGTTTTAAAAATAATTTTTGGAAGTCTCTAACACCCACAGATTTAACACTTTTGTTACTCTCTAACTAATGAAGAAATAAATTTTTTTAAAACTTTAAGTATTTGAGGAATTTTGAAGATGTGTTGAAATTTGCCTGAAATAACTCATATCCAACTTATAAAATATTCAGAAGATTTTATTTTATTATTATTTTTTTTATCCTCACCCGAGGACTTTTTTTGATATTTTGTTCAGATAGAGTGGGAGGGAGAGAGATAGAGAGAGAGAGAGAGAGAGAGAGAGAGAGAGAGAGAGAGAGAAACATCAATGTGAAAGGGACACATCAAGTGTTCCACCCACACGACCCAGCCAGGGCCGGGGACAAACTGCAACCGAGGTACGTGCCCTTAGCGGGAACTGAACCCAGGTCTCTCTGGACTGCAGGCCAATGCTCTAACTGCTGAGCCAAACCGGCCAGGGCTTTATTCCTTTTTTTTAATTTTAATTATATTTGTTTTTAATTTTGAAATGATTACTGATTAACAGGAAGTTGCCAAAACAGTATCTAGGTAGGTCCCATGTCATGTACCCTTCATTCTGTTCCCTCAGTAGGAATACATTGTATAGTTGTAGCACAGTATCAGAGGAGAAAATTGACATTGGTGCTGTCCACAGAGCTTATTCAGATTTCAGCAGTTGTATGTTGCTCACATACTTAAAAAATTGCACATGGAAAAATTGTTATTCTTTTGAATTCTTTTCTTTTTTTTTTAATCCTCACCTGAGGATATTTTTCTATTTATCTTCAGATAGAGTAGGAGGAAAGGAGGGAGGGAGGGAGGGACTAAGAGAGAAAGAGAGAGAAAAAAACATCAATGTGAAAGAGGCACATTGATTGGTTGACTCCTGCAGGACCCCAACCAGGGCTGGGAACAAACCGCAACTGAGGTACATTCCTCTGGTCAGAATCGAACTCACGACTCTAGTCCGCAGGCCGATGCTCTAACTACTGAGCCAAACTGGCCAGGGATCCTTTTGAATTCTTAATAGTGCTACATACGTTATCATAAAGGATATGTAGTTAATATTTCATATATTAAGTAAAAGGGGGAATCACATACTATTTCAGTTTTGCCTCATCTAATTACTTACCTCTGGAGATTGGGACACAGGAATGCTGTCCTCTCCTTCCAGGACTGCACCTGAGCACATCTGAAGACGCTCTGGGCATGCAGAGTCCAGGATATGGTCTTGGAAGTAGGGATGAACCACATGCTCCGTCTTAACGTTGGTGGGGACGGCCGAAGGAGTACTCTCCCATCCTGGCTGCAGCTCTGGTTTCTTTGTCATCTGCTGGATGGTTTCTTATTTGTTCTGCAAACTAAGCCAACATCAGATGAAAGGAATAGAGAATTCTATTTTCTGATTTTAATATTTGTGATCATTTTTTTCATATGATGATTCCAGAAGGTTTTTCACATGTAATCTTTCAGGAATATATATATATATAATTAAGTATTTTTTCTTTATTGATTTTAGAGAGAGAAGAAGGGAGAGGAAGAGAGAAATAGAAACATTGATGAGAGAGAACCTCAATCGGCCGCCTCCTGCATGCCCCTACTGGGGATCGGGCACACAACCTGGGCATGTGCTCTGACTGGGAATCAAACCAGCAACCTCTTGGTGCATGGGTTGACGCTCAACAGTGAGCCACACTAGCCGGGCAGGAATATATTTCTAAAAGCCAGATTATTCTGCATGTTACTGTTCTTGTCCTTGGGTAATTCTGAGTAATATTTAAATTTTTTTAGTTAAGTATGATACTATTCAGTCAAGTCTAAGTATAAAACCTATAAATTGACTTTATAGGAGACTAATATATATCTTTGTATTGAAAATTGTAAGAATGGGGAAAAAACAGATGTTGATCACGGACCAAACATTAGGTGACTCTGAATGAAGCTGTCTTTTTCTGCAGACAGTAACTCAGAGTAGTTTGGAAAAAGGTAACAATTTTG